TATTTAAGATCATTTCTTCTCTCTTTAAGCAAATGTGCTAATATATATTAACGATTCAAATTGCCGCCCAAATCACAAAAAGTGATTCACAAATCTGAAAAAAGGGAACTAAAATTTTCCATTTCGGCGTATAAGGTGAGGTGAGCATATGGTGGCCAACATTGAGGTTGGAATAATTGAAAGAGACTCTCAATTGAGGTCACATATTCCTCCATATATATGTATATAAGAGTTGACATTGCTCAGCAAATTTGGGAATTAAAGCAAGAAATTCTAAGAATCAGGACAGCAATATATATATATATATATATATATATATATATATAGATGGTTTTAAAGAATGATACGTTGTTTTGTCAATTGTCAACTAGTAGCTTAATGATGTGCCAACATTAGATTTAAGGATTTTTTGTGGTACCCATATGTAGGAGTTCCTTATTTTGGGAGAATAAATTGGAAATCTATATATATATTCTGATTTTATTCTTTTTTTTTTTTGTGGTACCCATATGTAGGAGTTCCTTACTTTGGGAGAATAAATTGGAAATATATATATATAGATTCTAGTAGTAACTGTTTCATGAACAAATTGATTAGATGCTTTGGGATCAAACACTCTATTTGCATTTGCCATTACTTAGGAGGCAAGTGTAACAAAGGGTCTTCTGTCACATTCCATGAGGATGAAAATGATCCTTAAAACATATATAAGGAGATGGACAGTAGCACTTAATAATTTAAGTTTTTTCACGTTATAATTAGATTCAGAACTAATCTAATCTCTTAATTAATGTCACGACCTAACTCTCCCCTAAAAAGTGAGGGAGAATGTAACAACGTTCCAACCTCTTTTACTATATATACATATATAGACACACCCTGACTTTCCAAACTAATTGAACATGCTTTTGAAAAGCATTTCCATTAAGAATTAAACAAACTGTTAATTTCTTATTCTTTTCATGTTATTTTCTCCTCTCTTTTTTTTTTTTTTTTCTTGTCCCCATTGGTGGAATTTAAATATGATTAAAAATAACAACAACAAAAAAAGGTATAATAAGAAATAATAGCATTTAGAGAACTACAATAAAGAAAGCAATAGATTCATTGTATCTCACAGAGCCATTTCAATTTGGGTAAATTAAATTGAGATTTGAAAAAATTACACATGAATAGAGTGTTTGACATTTATTACTTTAACATCCATCAAAAGTATAGAATGTTTTTCATACCCTTCTCTAATTTAATAATAGTTTAATAAAAAAATCTATCAAACAAAAAAAACGCTATTACCCTTTTATTTTTTCCTCCATCTTGTAAACACTATATTACCTTAGCTTTTTTTTTTTTTTTTTTTTTTTGAGAAAAAAATGAAACATAATCAAATGTCATTAATGAAAAAAAAAAAATCTATTTTTGTAAAATTTAATAATATAAAATTAGTATGAAAATTGACTTAACATTTCGATGGCATTTCATGTTAAAATATAAAGTTATTGAGATCTTAAAAAAAAAAAAAAAAAAATTAGAAAAAGTAATTTAGTCATTTTTTGAATTTTTATTAACGGCAAGGGGAAGCCCGTGTAATTTACCTTCACCTTTTCAATTTTGCCAAATCTTTATAATTTTTTATTGAGCACATTTATCAAATCTCCCTCAAAATAATAAAGACCAAATACTTTATCAATATGTAATTTACCCTTTCAATTTTGCCACCAAATGGAGAGTGGCAATAATTTAACAATGGTCAAAAGTTGCCTGGAATGGCCGAGACAACCAATTCAACGGTGCGCACACAAAGACACACGTATATAATTATATATGTTTTTGTGCGCCTTAAGAGACTGAATAGAGATTAGATGTGAAGATATATGTATTGGGAAAAATTAATATAAATTGATTGAAATGGACAGGCCTCTCATTTCGCTTCCTTGGTCATGCTTCATAGCTCCATAATTTTTTAAAATTTAACTTTAATGCTCTGTTTTTTTATTAGCAAGTGACTCTAATGCCCTTGCTAATGGGAATTGATGAACATTTCAAACTTTTCCAAGACAAAGCAGAGTACTCGTTGTGAGAGACGACTCATCTTTCATTTCCCAAGATTAAAGGAAAAGTTAGCAAAAAAAAGGCGCTAATTGATTAATAGAAAAATTCATGTCATACGACTGCTGTTTTGTTTTTTTATTTACAATTACAACTGTTAATTGATTCGTCACTAAAGCTTATAGAAAAAGAATTGCAGTGACAAACATGATTGGATTGAAATGGGGAATGATGGAAGTCACACAATTCTCTATGTGCTGCTTTTACATATCGGAATCGATCCAGAAGCTCAAGTATGGGGGACAATACTGAATGTTTTAAATAATTTCAGAACGACAAAGATAATATTTCGTAAGTATATATACCGAACGACAAAATAGTAAGATAAAATAATAAAAAAGATGAAATTCAGAATGGGCAATTACCCCCACCGAAGTGTACATGGCTCCCTCCCTATTTATGCACGCACGCTCTTGCTTTCATTTTTACTATGTATAATTTAGATTTTATCACTTTCACATTCTCGTTCTCACACTCACACTTGCTCCCGCACCAAGAAACGGATGTACTGTGGGCTAAATGGCGGCATCTGCAACCTCTGAAAATTTTTGTTATTGCATTTTATAACCCTAAATTTGTACTTTTTTGCATTTATACCCATAAAATTTTGAATTTGCCCCCACTAAAATTATGAAAATCCATTCTATATATATTTGCCCCATCAAATAAATTTCCATCCCTGCCAGCTCCTACACCCATTTGTGCAACTTAGGTAATGATTAAAGGATTTCTTTTCCTTTTAATTAATCTTCTTTCAATGGGATATTTGATGCAATTACAGCTTTCTTGGGGCATGAAAGTGCAAACTTTTGATATTATAATGAGGGACTAATGAGCCATTGGGCAAACCTAGAAGTCCTATGGTTGAATATTAAGAATCACCAAATGTATTATTAATATATATGACATGGTAGTTGATTGTTGACTGCTTATTTTCAATGAAGACTCAAATTGGGGGATCTACAGATGAATCTTTGACTGAAAAGTAGTTGAATCTTTGTTGTGTTATTCTTTATAATGATATCATACATTCAATCATATATAACATAGACTAATAGTAGCAACTCCAGACCTCTCACTTCTATAATTTGAAAACCCTAGATAGTGTGATAGCACAAGTGGCTACTATAATATGAGAGGCAGCAATTATTGTCCATAATGCGCACATCAAGTTTTTTATTTATTTATTTTAACTATCACAATTGTTTTTTTTAAAGAGAGTTGAACCATTCATTGTTCAATTTGAAAGAAAATAAGATACTACTAAACTGTATGTCTATATCGTAACTCACAAAATTAGTTATAAAGAGAAGCTTGAAGTTCAAATTCCCATAAGAATAAAAGTGGGTGTGTGTTTCTTATCATCGAAAAAAAAAAAATGTTTGAGGTTCATCCTCTCAACTATTTAAATTTTTTTTTTTTTTTAACTGAACTATTTTAATTCTATTATTTGAACTGTATCTTGCATTTTGTGAATTTGGCCCAAAAACCCATTGATGACCAACTAGGATACCAATTAAAGTATTTCCTTTCTGGGTCGGCCTGTACACTTTCAACTTGAATTTCACTGAATGATGGCCCGATGGGGCTTAGGCCCAGAGTATGTCAAATCAGCTGGTGCCCGAGTCCGTAGAAATGGTACAATCTATAAGAAAGTTCAGCCCAGAACATTACAAATTTCTCCGTACTAAAGTGTATATACGAAAGACTAAAATGCCTAAAGTTGTCCCTAGAAATGGTTCAATCTATAAGAAAGTTCAGTCCAGAACATTACAAATTACTAAGGGCTGTTTGGCATGCGGCATGATATTGTTTTTCTGATTTTGGTATTCAAATTTGGACCCATAATCCCATATCATATTTGGGACCGCTGATATTGGTTTAAATGTTTCATATCACATCACATTTTTAGGCTCAAACCCACCCATATCACCAAATTAGTGATATGTATGTTTTGGTATTGTAGCGGATGAATTAAAGCAAATTTCTGTATTTCTAAAACAAATTGGTGATATTGTATGTTTTGGTATTGTAGCGGATGAATTAAAGCAAATTTCTAAAACAAATTTTTGTTACCAAACACAGTTCCGATTTCTACCCAAAACACTCCTACATTAAAACGGTTGTTTTGATATTGACAAAAAACATGAAGCCTAAAACACATCGCATGCCAAACGGACCCTAAGTGTATATACGAAAGACTAGACCGTCTAAACTAGTATTTTTTATTTTTTAGGGTGTGTAAGGGGCATGTGAGCTAAAAATTGTATTTTTCAAGCCCCTTTCTCTCTTTACATCCCGAGTAACACACACCTCCGCTCATTCATGCAAACTTCTTTGCTCACACCCAGATTCGAACCCCTTTCCTCCCTTCTTTGAGGATGGAGAGGTTATATCATTGAGCTAGATGTCAGTTGGTCTCTAACATCCTTAAGTTGCTTCAATAATTTGTTATTAACACTTGAAATGCCATCAATTCTACAAGATTCGGTAAAACAAATTCTTTCAATTGAATTGGCAACTATTTCTATTAGTCCCTAAACTTAAACAAAACACATTTCCTTCTTTCTTGAAGCACACGCATGCAACCTATAACGAAGGCCCCAGCATTCAAACTCTTTATAAAATTTGTTAAGCATAAGTTTGGATGTTGAATTAGATTAAATTACCCGTTCTAATCAATACGAGGACAAAAAAGGAAGGATAATTGTTTTTATGACATGCATGAATCATTTTTTCTGCAAACAAGGTCATTCGGAGCATACAGTGCCTTAGTCATGGCGAGAAAGCCATTACTGTGATACTATGAGTTAATATATTGTACCATTCAGCAATCACAAAGTTTCTATTTGTTGGCCAAACAAGGTTTAAAGCATAAAGCTGCTATACATATGTGAGAAGAAAAAAACCCCACTTCCATCAGTCAGTCAGCAATACATTAAATCAAGTTTTAGAAAGCCACAGGGCTTCCCAAGTCTCTCACCAGTCTACAAATATTTACATAACTATGACTACAAAGTTTGTACCTCTATATATTATATAAATTAAACAGTAAATGGCAACCTAACGAGACATTAACGAGCCAAGGATACATATGCTACGTACAGATATCACCGCAGAGGGAAGAGGTTTAGGTAACCAGCGTCTGTTAGTGTCAACAACCAAATGCAAAGATCTTGCTTTTTTTCGAGGTTATTTGCACACAGTCTTCAGCCTCTTTGCAGCTTGCACAAACCCCGTGATGACCTGCAGCTCGTCCAATTGCTTCAACAAGAAGGAAAAGTGTTAAAAACAACCAAATCCCAAATATGCAACCAGTATAGAGATATATATACACAAACATACAAAAAAAATTCTTTATCCAAGTGTTCATTTGTTTCATAATATTTACTGTTACACTCTGAGAAGTTGCATTTCCAAGCAATGGCTTTTTACCATAATCATAGATTTTTCGGAACATATATTTAAGGCCATAATCTTCATTTGTGTTTGGGGAAAATGTAACAGTATAAAATTAATAACTAACTAACAAATAGTCACTGGACTTCAGTTTGGGATTTCAAAGTTATTGTTTCTTTTGCATATATTTTATGTTCATCATATAGAACATCATTTGCTCAAACTGTACCACATAGTTGAGGGAGGGTCCACGAGTACCTGTGACATGAAATGCCTCTGAACGACATCAATTAGTTGCTCTTTAGATGGGTTAGGGATGGCATCCACCTAGAAAAATCATAATGTTAATACACAATTACCAAAATTGCAAGTGCTATAGTCACTCTGGCATATTTTAACATTAAACAACTTACAAGATTGAAATGTTGCAAATATCTCCATAACGCAGCCATCTCTAGTTTGCTGAGGTCGACCTTCTGTATAAGAAATGTTTTGAATAGAAATTTAACCATACAGTTAAACAAACGATTACAAACAGCAGCAAGATTTCCCCAGAGAACTCAGGTAAGAAACAAACAAATAGAATGTAGACAGAGGGCTACAAAAAATGCACAAGGATTTTTACCGTAGCTCCCCGATAAGTAGAAACAGAGCCCTTAGACTGGGAGTCACAAGAGAGAGTCCTGCTCATAGTCTCATGAAATGACCCGGATGATTTATGCATGCGATGCCTTGATCTGTGAGGCTTTTGAGTATCATCTGATGCTGGAGATTTAAAAACAGCATATTCCAATTATATCGGTGGTGGGGCCAAAAAGAATGAGAATAGAAAAATGACATAATGGAGATGGTAGCAGTAGAAAAGGTACAGTTCAGACTTCAGATATAATGTATCCTATGTAACCATCCCAACAAACTTCTCTTTCATGTTCAAAACCCACTATAGCAGTGGTCCACACTAAATTCCAAGTTAACAAATAAAAGGATGAGGATGATAAAAATACTTCAAGTAACAACAACAAAGGTACACACACCATGCAGACTAGTTGATAAAACTTCTTTCCAATCACAGGTTGGCTATGAAATCAATCTATTTCAGATAGTTATTGATAGGGACAAGTGATCCTTCACCAAACAGTTGATAAATTTATGCAGAAGCCAAAACGATTCAAGATTTGTGAAATTCATTACCTCTTAAGCATTTTAAACATTTGAAACAATTCTTCGGAAAATATTAATTATAGTATTTTACAAAATTAAGTAAACAATATCATAATAATGATGCAAAATTCATTAAACAAACTCACTCATATCTGAGCCATTCCACTGCAGATTCTCAAATTCAAGGTCATCGTCTTCCTCATTTCCTGTAGGAGCTTCAATTACACTAAGTGCATTCCTTTGTAGCTTCACTTCTATTCCATTTGTAAGAACCTGCATTTATAATAAAGACAACTAAATACCACTCCAAAAAACAATCACACAACAAGAGGAAGCAAAAAGATAAGGATACTAGATGCAGGATCTCAGCAAAGAAGTGCAAACAAGGTCAGCAGGGGCACCATTTTGGACGCCCAATCATACATAAGATTTCATACAGAGGAGAGAATTCCTATTCTATTTGAACAAATCTATGAAATTCTGGAGCAGGAATTCAATAAAAACCACCATAGTTTCTGAAAATTTTGAGCTAGCATAATGATAATTGATAAAGGATTGTATTTATAAATCATATGTTTTGGAAAAATTATAACTTTCCGGAGAGCACATTAAACTCGACAAATAGACATGCAAAAAGAATCAAAAATCCAATCAAACACCAGACTCAGTCATTGACTAAAATGTTATGAAAAAATATATTGACATCAAAATCCACAACAATTGGTTAGACGATGACAACAACAACAAAAAAAGGAAAAGAAAGAAAAGAAAATTGAACCTCCTGTAGCAAACCCGGCGAAATATGTGAGAAACCATTAAATGTTAATCTGAAACAGATCTCCCAATAAACCCAATCATGCAAAGCAAAACCCTACTTAAAGACTAAAAATCCTTAATTATTTCCCAGTAAATGACCATCTTGAAATAGCTATAAAACAAAATTGAACCCAGATCATATCAAAATTAGAGAAAACTAAATCAAAACCCCTTTAATATCACACATATCCAAAAATAAGATAAAATATAATAAATTACACACACATAATAATAATAATAATAAATAAAAATAAAAGAAGAAGAAGAAGAAGAAAGAAAGAAGAATAATACAATATTCTAAATAAGAAAAAAGAAAAACAGTAAACAATAACAACAATACACAGTCTCCCTCATTACCACAAAACCATTAAACCCCCAAATTGTAAGATTCAATCAAAAACCCATTTCCGAACACATATAATAGAACTTAACAACCATTAAGAACATCAAATTTCATGCAAATTACACAAGAAACCATAAAATATTAATCAGAAAGAGATCTCCCAATAAACCCAATCATGCAAAGCAAAATCCTACTTAAAGACTAAAAATACTTAATTATTTCCCAGTAAATGACCAGCTCGAAATAGCTATAAAACATAATTAAAGCCAGATCATATCAAAATTTAAATAAATAAAAATAAAAATAAAAATAAAAAGGAGGAGGAGGAGGAGGAGAACAATACAATATATTCAAAATAGGATAAAAGAAAAAAACACAGTAAACAATAACAACGATAATAATTTTAGAAATTCACACCAAATATCTAAGATCAATAGACAGTCCCTCATTACCTCAAAACCATTAAACCCCCAATATCCATTTATCAAAGCAATATGTAAGATGCAATCAGAACCCATTTCTGAACACATATATTAGAAGTTAACAACCATTAAGAACATGAAATTTCATGCAAAATTACACAAGAATCAACTAAAACTGGTCAATTAAACAACAACCCCCCCCCCCCCCCCCCCCCCCCCCCAAAAAAAAAAAAATAAATAAATAAAGGTAACTGAAACAGAACAAAATGAACAATCCATAATAGTTATCAACATGTTAAGAAAACAAATGATAAATTCAGGAACAGAAAATGCTATAATTACATAATATAATTAATCTGACTACAAAGTTGCTAAATTGTCCACAATGCACAGAACATGAACAATCAAAATCTCTTCAAAACCCCAAAAGCAAACTACATTATTCCCCAAAACCAATCTCGATCAAAACCCATTCTCAAAATCCAAAAATTCTTCAAAATAAAATGCAATTACGAAACATAATTACCAGCCAATGCCACCCGCCGAGACCAACAGCCTTCTTGACCACCCCTTGGAGGCCAACGAGCACCGACTTGGTCCGGTTGTTACCGGTCACAACCACTTTGGTGTGGCGAGGCAGAACAGAGAGCTCTTCTTCGCTACTGTCTCCATAGCTCTGTAACTGCGAAAATCCTCCATTAACAGAACTCTCCAGTGCTTCAAGCATTTCTGAGTGAGTATTGAGTCAAAAACTCGGTGAAAACTCGGGTTCTAATTCTCGAATTTGGGTGTAATCGAAAGATCATGCATTGCAGAATTGTTATTCAGAAAGATTGAGAGCATTAGAGTGAGAAATGGTGGAGAAATTTGGGAATTACAGAGGAAGAGAAAACACAAAGCTAGAGAGAGAAAGTGGAGAGAGAGTGACAGAGGTTGGACGATGGGAGTGACTAGTGTTTCTTTTCATTATTGCTTGTTTCTCTCAATCCCGACGACCTGTGAAACACCAATAGAATCATGCCACGTTAGCATTGAGCTTCGCTAATCACGCGATTGAGGCTTGCGTTGCGGCCCATCATTTATAAACCATGAAGTTTGTGGGTTATTTGTAATGACATAAATGCCCTCCATCTTTTTTCATTTCCTTGCTGCCAAAGCAAAAGAAGGTAACTGGTACGTTTGTTTTTTTTTATAAAAAAAAAAAGGGTAACTTTTTTCATTTTTAGGTATTATTTGGTTCAGTTTTTTAAAAATAGTTTAATAATTTAAAAAATAAATTTTTTTTTAGAAGCTATATAAGAATTGTTTAGTACAGTTTTTAAAAAGCAGTTTAAGAAAACTATAAAATATAATTATCTTTAAATAACCGAATTTTATTTTTTTTACTTTTTTTAAATTTTTTATTCTCAAAAAATAAACAAAATTTGAAACAATTAAGTTCTCAATTTTTTTAAAATAGATTTTTCTTTTTACTAAAATTCTGAAAAACAAAATTTAAAAAATGACAACCAAATAATTATTTATACAATTTCTTGGTTTTTAGCTTTCAGAAAATAAAATATTGAAACAAACTGATCCTAAAAGATGTGATAAAATTGGAATTGTAATTCCTTTTTGTTTTGGGTGACAGTTTAGTAATTTTGTAACAAAGATGGGCGGGAAGGGAGCAACCTATGGAATAGAAGTACTAGAAAACAACAAGAAACGCAGAGCACCGTAACGGAAACCGTCATAAATCCAATGGGTGGGACCCACACGAGGAAGGCGCTTCATCGTCGGTGTTGTCTTATCCGACATGGGTTACCCACCTGCATTATCTGTATCTCACCACAATCTATATCCATCACAACACTACATATTTTTATTGGTAATATAATATAGTATAATATTAAAAATATATAAAATAATATCTGGATTTTCCCACTAACTTCGTTTTCCCGCCATAAACGTGCAATACGAACCGTCGATTAGAAAAGCCCATATCTCGACCGTCGGATCATTTTGGAGAGAACGTGGCCGTCGGATTCGGGAGAGTCGAGAGGAAAAGTCGTAGGATTAGGGGACATGTTCATCTACATGTGTAATGATCATAAAGTTGAAAGGGCAGCCCTTTTGTAACGTCTTGTCTTAAAGCAAAAATGATGGCGACAAAAACAGAAAAAGAGGAGATATTGTATGTTGGCGAGCTGCATCAAAATGTTCATGTTCCTTCACTCAATCTGGTCCATTGATTTGTAATAACCCTTTACAAAATGATAAGCCACATTCGCAACTACACAATTTCATCCGTTAGATCCCACGAGTCTTATTGTAGAGCCCACATGCATGATTCAACACAAGTCTTGGATAGATGATGGTGGTCTTGGTTTGAACCGTGACAAACCCAGGAATATTTTTGAGGGGCGCGTGTTAAAGAAAAAAAACACAAATTGAAGAAAAATATTTTTAAAATAAAATAATAAATATAAAATTTTAATTTTTTTGTGGCTTTCCCAACACTTGTAGAAACGTGTTCAACATATGTTAGTGTTAGACTCAGATTTTTTGACCTTTTAATCATGTCCATGCTTCCAAGATTTATATGGATGTGGGGTAATAGGGAGTGAAGAAATAAGTGAGCCAATTTTAACTTTTCTTTTGGATTAAAAACATCTACGAAATTTCAAAAAATATATATATGCGGGTGTGTGTGGATGAAAGAATATATAGTGAGGTATTTTCAAAAATTGGGTGGGAATATGAAGTGTGTAAGAGAGAATTGATTATCCTGAATGTGCCGGCGGTAGAGAGTAGGAAGAAAATAGAAAATATTAAATAGTTCGGAGGTATGGTACTTCGGGGTCATCCCAACCCTTGAATGTGGTGAGGATCATGATCCAACGGCTCCCACTACCTCGGGTACCATATCCCCGAGTATTTAATACTTTCTCGAAAAAGAGAGACGATCATCATTTGGATCCAAAGAAATCAGTGAGGGCAAAATTGTGAAGTGAGATACTTTTACAAATTGAGTGGGGCGTTTCTAAAATTTTAACAAAAAATATAGGTAATAATATAAATTAAAAAAAATTACTGGGGGTGGTTGCCCTTGCCAGGTCTTAACCAGTTCGGTATCTGGTCGTGCATCATTGAAACATGGTGGACCAATTAAATCTAAACTCGCGGATTGAAAAAATAGTAAAGATTGTATTAATATATTAAAAAGAAATTTCAATAGTAATTTTTATTACATTAATCCACCAAGTATCAAATGATTTAAGATCATCAAATCATTTTTCTTTCATAGACAAGATATAGGTGAGCCCAAAATCCACCTTTCATTCGCCATATAATACAAGTTAGTACCGCTATCTAATAACGCTGTTATTCACAAATTGAGTGACGACTTGATAAATCGGAAGTGCCTCCGCCCTCACCCCAATTCCTCAGTCTCATGAAGAATTGAAACCCTCGACGAATTCTATCACTCTCGTGTACGATTGTTTACGCAGATTGCGATTATTTACACATGTGAGTGATGAGATCTGTCCGATGTGATACTTACATCTTATGATGTACCCATCCATGTTCCCTTTTAAGAGATGGAGCCCGAATATGACCATGCAGCACCGTACAAATTCCTTGAGTCAACAACTTTACCAAACAGTACTACACATACAACCAATCGACTTTAGCTCACTTTGAGCATGCATTTTGACTATAGTGCTTCACAATTATATCTTTTTTTAGCTAGTTCGTTACTCCCATTAGTGCCTTTGGAATGAGTTTGGTTGTGAAACATTCAATCAGAAAGCTGACTCCTCCACCATCCTTTTGAATTTATCACCAATTATTTGAGGTGGTCCTATTCTCAATATAGTTTTTTTCTCTTCTCCTCCCAAAATTTTCCTTTCCCACAACCAAATTTACAATAATATCCTTTTTAAAGTTTGGTTGGCTTTGAATTGAAAATTTCTCAATTTGTATTTTTGTATTATGCTTAGGTTGTGGTGTTAACATAAATCATTATCAAACTGTAATTTTGAATTGAATATTATCGCCGTGTTGAACTGAATTGAATGTCGACCTAGTTGTTACAATTGCTTCGACGGATATACGCTGAAGGTGTAGGTTTGTGGCTAGGGTTAGTGTCAGCTCTGAAGGTGTGGGTATGTATGCGACTATGTGTTACAAGGGGTACTTGTCTTACATCGGATCCGGATGGAAAATAAAATAGGTATAAATGGATGGGTATGTTACATTACCTAATAGTTTAAATTTTTTGATAAATAGGTAAACGTATATCCGTTATAGTTAGTATTAGAGTCAAATTCAGTCCTTAATCCGATTTCATGTCAAGCGTTCGGTTCGAAAGGCGTCCAGATTAGTCACTTGAGTAGGTAAGATGGTCAGACTTTAACGAGAATGTTGTAAGTTTGAGTGGCGAAAAAAGTAAATAAATATCTAATAATTTATTCTTTTAAATAAATAAATAAGCGCGGACCAGATTCGCCCTAAAAACTAACTGGTGAATACTTTTAACCACCACCGTTTGGCCTTTATGCTCAGAGTCAAGCCCCAGCTTAACTTTCCAATCAAAAACACAGGCATGTTTATTAAGAGGGTGAGCAGGAGAGCCCCACTAATTAAGTGCCGATAACTAAAGTAGACCAGCACATTGGTTCCACCATATAACCACTTTTTCACTTTCCTTTCATCAACTTCAATACTTTCAATATTCACCAATGATGTACATCAATATTTTTGTATATTATCAATATTTTTGTATATATTAATAGATTTACTCTTGTGTGGTGTAAATGACTACACCAAAGGAATGGCTCTCTTTTCAAAGAGTACATGATAGTCCCAACCATGAAATGAGTTCAATGAAACCAACAATATCAAGCTTTCACTTCTGTTTTTTTTCTATCAGTGGAGTTTAAATACATCTGTTGACTTAGAGAACTGTTCTTCCCTTTCGGTCTCTAAATTTGGAAAGTCAAAGAAGTGATGGATCCCACTTCTATGGACCGATGATCTTAATTACTTCTCTCACGTTTCAAATCCGATTCAAAATATATTACTACTTCTTAGATCTCAAACATTTAAAATTCGGAATACGTATCATTATTTTTTGACTTGATATAGTTCATACATGTAGTTTGACCTTTCCCTCTTGAGGTGGAGTGATTGAGACCTGATAAAAAATTTTAGCAATATATTTACATTCAAAATTTGAAATACGTATCATTATTCTTTGACTTGGTATAGTCTATACAGGTGGTTTGACATCTCCCCCTCAGGAGGGAGGCGGTTGAAACCTTTTAAAGAGTTTTAGTAATATAATGGTGTTGAGGTAGGGTTTGATGTCTCAATTTCCATTAATTGTTATGCGTTTCCCATTCTGAAAGTAGCTCAACCAGATGTTCATTGACTTGTGCAAGCTCTTTTCTTGAGATGGACTAAATTCTTTATCCCAAGTATAGCATTTATAGTTTGTACTAAGTTTTAGCTTTTTTTAGATGAGACAGTGATGACCCATTCTTACCATCTCAATAGAGTACGTTCACCAAGCAAAAGGTTCATAAAATAGGGGAGAAACAATTTTGTGTTCACAAAGTTCATAAATGAATTATGTTGGTGATAAATAATGAAACTGCTGAATTCTCTTCTTTTTTTAAATTTTTTTTAATCTTGACAAATAAAGGGGAGGATGACTCGAAAACCATTCGTCATTCAATTATGTAAATCACAATGGACTACTTGCAATATATTGATCACCTATTAGGATAAATCAGGTCTGCACATGGATTATCAAAACTAGTTGCTTAATTCAATAATTAAAAACGCTTTCCAGGAAGGCAAACAAATTTCAAGAACAAAATATGCACACACAAAATCAGTTGTTACATTCCTTTCCTTTCCTTTCCCTTTCAGTAGCAATATATGATATTACATTCATCATTCAAATGAATATGAAACTACTACTTTTAGGTGGTTGGCAATGAATAGGAAACTTTACATGGAAATGGTCAAACCATGTCATCATCCTATTTTACAATTACAAAGAATATGCCAACAGTTACCTACCCTTTCTTTTCTATGAAATCATCTCCTACTATATTTCACCAGAGCTCAGCTAATAAGAACGTTACAATCAAACTTTCACTCCTTTACTTTTCCTTGAATACACCAAGTGTCTTCTTCTTCCTTGCATTGACATCAGTAGTTAATGGTTACCTATGTCTATCTTCCATCCTTCAATCAGTTGAAGAAAAACATGATTCTCCTAGGATAAGCTGAAGTCATCAACTGCATAAAAGTACTTGCCAATATATTTAATTTACATACCTACGAGTGAAACAAAGATGATCTAGAATGGCAGGAAGCACAGATAGTTCCTCTTAGACTTTTTCTTCTTGGCAACAACAGCCTTCTTTTTCCCTTCCGAGACTGGTTTGTGGCCACTGGATGATGTTGCCACATTACAAGATTTTGAGGTGCCTTCACTCCTGTGGTCTGCCTTATGGCTTTTGGTAGCATGCTTGGGAACCCCTTTGTCCGGGATTTGTTCCTTAATAGCTGAACGAGGAAGAGAAGAATCAGATCTTGGTCTGCCTTCACTCCTGTGGTCTGCCTTCTGGCTTTTGGTAGCATGCTTGGGAACCCCTTTGTTCGGGATTTTTTCCTTAATTGCTGAACAAGGAAGAGAAGAATCAGGTCTTGGGGTTCTTTCAGGTCGGGACTTGTTCCCATTGCCACTAACAAGAGATCCTGTGGACAGAAGTTTAATCAACACAAATTCCAGTAATAAGAAATCCTGCCACTAATAAGACAAGATTATCCATGGAAAGTTAATATTAAGTGAAGGAATACTAGAATAAGCACAAAGAAATACTACTATTGTCAACTTGACGAGATTCCATTCGGCTAGGAAAGACAAGGCACTCAGAAAGACGGTGGTAATTTCAATTACCAGTAGATCGAGCCCAAATTGTTCTAGCAGTCTCTAGGGACAACAAGCTAGCTTTACGTTGCAAGCCTACTCTAAACGGGTACGAACTCACTTGACAGCTTGAAGGTAACAACAGCACCAGAGAGCAATAAAAAATTTTAAAGAAAAAAGGTTTCTAAAATGTTCATTGTATCATCTAGGAGCATCAAGTCCGGTCCAAATTCAGCTGGCATCACTTGGCCACCCAAAGATTAGAGCTGCCAAGTCTGCAATGTATCATTTCAGATTCATCAAATTGCAAGGGGATCGAAAAAGATTGTGCCACTTAACTTGTAGTCTATTGAGGAGCATCAATTGACAAATCAGATAAAAATTTGGACCTCCTTACTCAAACAACTGCAATTCAACTGGGACATTGTACTACTCCAAGCATTTATTGTATTTATCCATCTTTTTTCTTTTTCTTTTTTTTGGTTAAACATGTATTTATCCATCTTCTTTAGCTTTAATTTGAGAATTTTATGTTTAGTTTCCTCCTGTTTTCATATAAACCTAATAATTGCTACAACCTCCAGCCCAATTTAATTGTCCCAATTGTTTCCCTTTATGAAATTTCCAAGTTACCCTCTGAAGAAATATATATATTGTGAAGTAGAGAGAGTTTAAAAAAAAAAAAAACGGATATTTTTGGCTTTGACTTTTCAACTGCAACATGAATTTTGGGACAACAAAAAATGAAAAAGGGACAATTAATTTGGGATGGAGGGAGTTTTAACTGAGTATAATTCTTGTAGTTTCAAAAATAAATTCTTGATAATGGGTGGAAAATTCAGATGACAGCAGAAGATCACAGGAGGGGTTGGGATTGCAATGCACAATAATATGGATTCCCTAAATGAAATCTTGTATCAATGTCACTAACAGGAATAAATCTCTTTCAAGATTGACTCCAGAGGACCAAAAATTATCATGCCATAATTCAGGTAAAAAAAAGTATTATCATGCCATATTTAAAAACCATGAAAAATAAATAAATAAACCCTAAGCTAAGCAATTAACAACCCAATTGGACTAATCCAAGGAAAGTGTTTTTTTAAAAAAAAAAATAATAAAAATAAAAAAATAAAATAAAATAAAATTGAAGAAGAAGAAGAAGACAACAACAGTAAGAAGAAATCCTCCACTCTATTTCTCATCAACATAAGATTGACACGGTTAACTTCCCAATGTGAATCCAACCACTTTCAAAGACCATAGTGATACAAAATGTACCTTCGATTTCCTTAGATTTGGAAGGTTATGCATTTAGAGAGGATGGAAATAAAATGACTAAACAGTACTGAATAGAGGGAAAATTGAACATAAAAAGAGAGAGCACTGGAAGAAATATTATCATACCTAAAGTGGCTGTACGCATAACCACCTCATTTGGCTTGACAGATGCAGAGACACTGAAATTTAAATTTGCATCCCTGCCCCGCAGATCCTGGTTAGTATTACCATCTATGAGTTGCACAACAGCCTCTGGATCAAAGCATTCATCTGATGACAAGGACAGACGACCTGAATTGTCTGAATTAAAGCATTCTGAATCAACAAAATCATCCAATGACAAGTAGTCGCCGCTTGAAATATAATCCTTGTCATGCAGGTTTTCTTCAAGAAAATTCTGAATTGTCTCAGCCACATTGAATGGTCCTCTTTCATTGTCCCAGTTCTTCACCTACAAGTTACTAGTATCAAAACAAGATTTTGATACTACTTTAAGCTGACATAACCAACAGACAAATGGATTGTGGGGGAATCCTATGTTTAGGGGATCCTTCCATGTGTCATATCACTACCATGAGAGACCTTATCACACTGCAAATTTTTCTTGTCACTTAGGGAATGAGAAGTGCCATTGCATGATTCATTGTAGAGGCACAGACTGGAAGTGCAAGAAACTATATTTAAGTTAGCGAACAGCAACTTAGTGCAAATAATGCCAAAGCTTTGGTCTGTATCTAATTCGCTCATTCCAGCACCCACATTAGTGGACAAATAGTTACTGGTAATGGCATTTTTCTCCCATAAAGTTCGACGGCCTAGATTTTAGTTACAGTCACTTGGAATATAATTACACAAATCTAATTGATTAGGTCATCTGGCAAAATTTAGCTATAGGGAACCACAATGATCAGTGCATGAAATGAAATCTCCAAAACCAATCGTAGAATTTTCTACCAGAATCCAACCAGTTGGTGCCTTAGATGTTCTAAAGGAAAACCAAAATTCGAATTCCATAGAGAAGCCAATAACTCTTAAGACATAAATTGAAGAAGCATGCAAAATCAGTTGGACTTAGCTGATGACAACATTATATATGCACATCAAAACTTAGTACAACATTATAGAGATGAAAAATCTATACCAAGCAGCCACATCAAGAAGCAATATGAAAAATAAATGGACCAAACAGCTTGTCAAAGATCATGATGCAAAGATGGCATACCTGGGATTCACTTACAGAACCTTTTCCAGAGGTGTTATCAGCCTGTGGGACAGCTGCTGGCACCGATTGTAGGTGGCTTGCACCGGCAGTATCTGTAACACCCTGTTCAAGGTGTGCTTCATGTTTTGGACTTTGTCCGGCACTAGAAAAAACTCTGCAAATTGAACCAGATTCCTGCATATTTGACAAACCAAACAGAGAATTGACTGACAGGTTGGGTTGATGATGAAATTGAAAGAGAACTGTCAGGAAATGAAACACATTATGTTAGCAGGATGCACTGAACACCTTTGGTTTGCTGCTTTTGCACGGGCTCTTCCTAGTTATTTTGTACTCTTGCATCACCCAATCAGTTTTTCGTCCGGCTTGGCCTTCATAGAATTCAAGTGTTGTTCTCCAACCAGAAATATTAGCATTTGTAAATATCTCACAGGCCTCCCCTCTGGCTTTCCAGAATCCATCTTCCATATCTTTTTTTCCCTCAGAGCATCTATAGAACCAAATGCCATCTGCATATACCGCATACGCATATGAGCTTTCTGACCATTTACTCAAGCTGGCCCCAATATCATAGTTTCTATTGGAGTGACAATTAATAGTTACTATAAGCTGTGCAGGTCTTTTTGACAATCACCAAAAACCCCGATAATGGGAAATTTTAAACACAATTGCCATCACCAATAAAGATATCATTGATATATTGGGTCAAAACATCGGCTCAATATTCACACTTGGGTCAAACTATGATGGTGGTATTCAACTATTAGAATAAGTAATTTTTTCAAGTTTTTCATCAATAATATATTAATCAATCAACCTTAATTTCCATTGGAATGCAGGTGCATTTGACACTAAAATCATGCAGAAAACAGATGCTATGAACATTACCATTTTTGAAATTTTGTATTTAAGAATGAAAAATGTTCTTCTCTTGATATGTAAAAGAGCATTCCCAATTGCCAACAAATTCTCTTACCAAGAAGACACAGCTATATCTACCCCTAATATGTTCCATTTTACAACCTTTCGAGCGCGGGGGAAATTGCAAAACAAACTCAGATTTGCTTGATCAATTATATTTTCTATTGCAATCCCATGGTGAATTTAAGTTATCACCCTCTTAAAATCCATATAAAATGTAAACATACAAATGACTGCACTCATTCCAGTGAAATGAAGGGCTTCATGATGCAAAGAGTTATATGTACTTCCGGGAAGTGAGATTAAAAATTCAGGGCATGATTTTAACACCTTACACTCAGCCTATTGATCACAAAATGAAGTATAATCTTATTTAATCAGGACAACAGAAATTCAAATAGGAAGTCTCATTTTAAATTAGACATTGAGAGAGAACGCAATTATATAGAGAGATTGTGGAAAGACAAATAGTATGAAACCAAGAATGTAATATCAAAATTGATACTAACCAGGTAATTTTGAAGGGTTGTACTGGTAAGGATTTACATCTGTAAGAACGTTGTTTGGGAATGGGTATCCACGCTCTAAATTCATAAAGACATCCTGATCACTCCAATACATGCCAATATCAGGAGGAGGGAAATTCACTGGAGGACACATGACAACCCAATTCAAATGGAAAGGAACTAGCCAGTCACCCCAAACGCCACCAGTCTCTGGATAGAACTAAAGAAAAAGGTCAGGCAAATAATCGAAAGCGGTAGTCAAAATCTTGAGTTCCAAGTTGCCAACAAATTAAATAGATTATGATCCAATATGCACATACACAAAATCACATAAATAATAACCCAACATATATATATATATATATATATATATATATATATATATATATATATATATTGAAGAAGGAAACTGATAAACAGCTTAAATTTAAGAAGGCAACTAGAACTCAAGTTCATGATAGTTCTTATGCAGCATCCCATATCATTTCCTTTTTGGTTATCATGGTAATAACTACAATGATAAAGAACAAACCCGTTTTATTTCTTAACAGCATAACAAATTGGCATGGAAAAAAATAATTTAACCCTTTTCTACTTGACTGGAAATAAAAATATAATCCTAAATTCAAACATCCACTTATATAAACAATTGCTATTTTTGGGAGCACCAAATCGGCAGCTTAGATTTGGAATCGGAGGAAATTTAGTACAAAGGTTGAACTAAATTTCTTTCAATTCCAAATCAAAGCACCCATTCAGTGCTCCCAATCGCAACATATGTGTTTTATCAAAACATCAGACAAGCCCAGAAGTCATAAATGAAACAGAAATGTATGAGATCTAAATAAAAACATAATGATATATATGAATATATATATATACACACACACACGCACCCAACAGCAAAAAAAAAAAAAAAAATTTGAGAGAGGACAAATCTCAATTGAAGCATTCAAATCCAATTCGCAATCCTCATGAATACATGGCAAGATGTGTGTGTGTATTTTTGAACTAGGAACCAATAACTAGTATAATACAAGAAACCCAATACCAGAAACCCCTAAAGACAACAAATTAAGTTCCAATAACTGTAAATTATAACCAGTAACATATAAGCCCATTGACTTCGAGTTGAACTGAAAGATCATTCATCAACAACCACCTAATCACTGAGCACAACATTAACTCATCTTTTAGGCAATTACCCAGATGGTAATACAGCTTTCATTGAATAAAAAGAACTCGAGAACAGAAACAGAAATCAACTAAAAGCATGAAAAATGAAGATATTAACAACTTGATCATGAAGACAATACTAAATTCAATAGAATTTTACAAAAGAACCACGAAGAAACTACAAAGAACATAGGATAATATAAAAGATTATTGAATTGGGGAATTAAAGGGTCAAGAGTTCACACCTTGTTGGACGGACACAGTGAGTCGAGACTCAGTCACTGAGAGCTTCAAACCTTTTTCCTTGGTTTACTTGAGTCAAGTTGAAAGAGAAGGCCAGATGGAGTGTATTTATAGGGCTGCTGCTGGGTTTGTTTTTGCTAACCATACCAAGCTTAGTTATTTACCCGCCATCACAGTTAACAAAACTTTTGTAGTGTGAAAGCTGGTTTGCCTATTGAAGGGTGATACGTGGCGGTGAGACGTGCGTTAAAGTCCAACGGTGATCTGAACGAGTGGGCGTCCTTCTCATAGAAGGTTCTAGTCTTCTACACACAGCCTGCGTCATGTGGAGACTACATCATGGTGTTGCAGCTCAAATTTTGTGGGTGAGGACTCACCCTTGTCAAATGAAAGAAATTTTATCCCTTCATTGCAATCTTCTCTCCAGTCCTTTGTTTGCCTTCCTGCCAAACAAATTAATACTAATTATGGAGTACAGTAGAACATGATTTGGGGTCACCTTGTTGCGCAGTGGTAGGTTGGCCCTCAATTTTAGTGAAATTATTATATGATTTTGGGACCAAGTTTTAGACTAATCACAAAGTATCACATGACTAAATAATTTCTGGGTCATCTTTATGTTATTATTTTTTTGTGATCATGTAATAATTTTTCCCTTTTCTTTGTGAGACAAAAAAAAGACACACATGAATTTTACAAAAAATTAAAATTAAAATTAAAATGTTAGCCACAATGGTGTCGACTTTGGACATTGCATCTCTAAATAAATTCCACATAATATCAATTAATTGGAGAGTCACTAGTCATAAACGCCCCTATGATATATATTTTAAAAAGTCTTTAACATTCAATTTTAGAACAAACAAGGACTTAACTGCTGAAAAGACTAAAGTGTCCTTCTGGCTGAATAAAAAAATAAGTAAAATCTAATTAAATGTGAAATGACTGTTTTTTTTTTTGGGGGGGGTTCTTCTTCGTCATCATTATCACAGGTAATGGAACAGTGGCAATGACTTGATATGTTCGGCTTCGGTTCTCTGTGTGTGTGTGTGTGTGAGGGCGTTATTGGAAGAGATAATGATGTTTTTGAAATTTTATATCTTAACAGTGATTTCAAGCCATTTTTTACTCATTTTTTCAAGCTTAACGGATTTATATACACAACATTAAGGATAGGTGTTACAAGGGGGGACTTGTCCCACATCAAATCCAGATGAAAAAGTGAAATGGGTATAAATGAGTTGAATATTAGCTTTACCTAATAACTAAAGTTTTTTGGTAAATGGGTAAGCGCTCACTCGTTACCGTTAGTATCAAAGTCAGACCCAATTCTTGATTCGGTGTCACGCCAAGTGCCCGGCCCAGAGGGCATTCGAGTCTGCATGCCTGATAGGCAAGGTGGCCCAAGCCGCAACGAGGGCGTTGCGAGTTCAGATGGAGGAAAATGTTACAAGGGAAGACTTGTCTCGTATCGAATCCGGATGAGAAATGAAATGTGTATAAATGGTTTGGGTGTTAGCCTCACATAATTACTTAAGCTTTTGGGTTAGATCGCGAAGTGTCTATCCGTTACAATAGGAATGTTATTTGCCCAAAATATAAATATTAAAGGTGTTTATTTCACTTTACCCATTAATTGAATGCCCCTTGCAAAGTTATAATATCAAAATAGGATAACTAATTCTAAAGATTGATAGTGTTTCACATTAGACCATTTTCTTCTTGTTTACAACAACTATATATATATATATATAACACAATTTCCAAAGGGATGGGATAGTAATTTCAAATGAAAAATGGTATCAATCAATATTTTTTTAATTGATTCAAGTAATTAGAACAAAATTATGTTGAGTGGGATGGAGTTAGTCATGATTAGAATGGCTGTGGAAGGGAATCAGTTATAAGCTTCACAAATATCCTAGTTAAATTACAGTACTAATTTATTGAGAAAACACGTTACATTTTCACCACGAATATTTGTCATGCAAGCAATTTAGTACTTGCTTAGTTGCTTACTTGATGTACTAAATGGACAGATTAAAAGTATTTATAATTTGGAAATTCAATTTTAATTCTGTTTAATATATATCCCAATCGGATACTACTTCCATTTTATTGTGAGTTACTACTTCTAGAAATAGAATCTTCTGTTTAAATTAACAACATAATTAAATTTTGACAAAAAATTGTAAGATTCTATTTCTAGAAGTAGTAAGTCACAATAAAATGGAAGTAGAATCCGATTGGGTCTCCTTCGTTTATTATATTACTATTTCTTTGTGTACTGGAATTATCAGAAGACTGGACAATGCTGTAAGTTTTTGGACCAGTCTTATAGAAACTTCTAGAAGGATTTTGTCTTCATGAGATTTTTCACGCAATTTAAATTGATACAGTATTTGTTGATAGTGAATTACGGGTTAAAATTATTTTTTGATAGCTTGATTTTGCAGAGGATTAATTTAATTTTTTTTAGGAAGTGATTGATTGTTATAGTAATGAAACAACGCAATGAAAGGGAAATTCACATTAGATAATTACTTAGGACCACTAGTCGTAGACGTGGCATAGTCAATTGGTCAGTGGGATTGGGGTCCATCAATTATTATTTGGGTAATACCTATAATAACCCAAGTCACCTAAGCCGGGAGTAAAAACGAATTCAACAGCGAGAATGTGAGAATGATAAAATATAAGTTGTACATAATAGATATAAGAGTGAGAGCAAGAGCATGTGCGGGATTGTAAGAATCGAAGTATGTTAGGAGCATAAGAGCAATATGAGAATAATTGTGTGACTTAGATTGATATAGTAATAATTAGATTAAAGTAAAGAGTTTCCTCATCCTTTTTGAGATGATATTATTTCGCGAAAAATGTAGGTGCTATTTCATGTTTCACTTTTCATTTGAAACGTGACAACATTTTTGTTGTAAGTATGTTCAAATATATTTAGTAACGTAAAATGTTACAGGATTTTTTTTAAAACAAAAACATGAAACACAAGTTAGATAAAGAATAAAAAAGTAGAGTTGCAAGATTGAGAAACAAAATAACTGGTTAAAAAAGAAACCTAGAATGTTTTTTTTATTAATTATTATTATTTTTTATTGTTTACCGCTTCAATGTTTTTTTTTTGCTACATTGCAAAAAATTAGAAAACACCAACTCTTCATTTCCTATTTAGGCCTTTTTTATGCACAACTATTCAAATGACAACAAAAATTACGTATTGCTTAGTGCTTTGCTTTGCTACTGGGTTGAATTAAGTCTGAACTTAAGGCTCCGTTTGTTTCGACGTAAAATATTCTTTTTGAAAAACATATTCAGGTAAAATAATATTCTTTTAATTTTATTTTGTTGATATTTGGCAAAGTTCTACGTCGATATTAAGGTCAAGTCCATCAAGGTTAAGGTTGAGTTCATCAGGCAGTGGACATGTAAAATAATTTGCCGAAAATTGGTGGATAAGTTAATTTTGTTAAATTTTAATATTTTTTTTACGACAACCAAACACCATAATTCAATTTTACATCTAAACAAATGGATCCTAAATGTCAATTTTAATTTAAAAGAGGTGAAAAAAAAATAATGGGACCAAAATTCACAATCATGTCTCATGGCGAAAATTTGACAACATCCATGAGGTTCTAACAGTGATTCCCTCCTATTTAAGAGATTCTATGCAGTCATTTTGTGCACGCTTGCAAAACAGCTGTATAGACAATATAACATAATCAAATCGATGCAAGTATCATTACTCTATCAGAATATACAACCACACTTAGATAATAATTAAAAAAATATAAATATATACAATACATTTATATCAAAGTTATACACACCTCTCACATATTTCATTGTGTTATAACTTCATAACACAGTTACATTCTCCTGTATCTAATTTTAGAGAGCACTAAACACTTTTATAAGGGCTCGCTTGCAAACGTGTTTTATTTATTTATTTATTTATTTTTTATCCTGCTTTAAATTGTGTTCAATACTATTTTGAAATTTTTTTTAGTAACGTAAATTTGTTACAAGATTTTTGGAAATAAAAATATGTAAACGTGTTTGATAAAAATTGTGTAAGTTTACAAAATTAAATGGCTAGTTAAAAATGTCACTTTATAATTTTTTTTTTTACTGTAATATTTTTGAACAGTATTTTATTATAGTGTGAAAGCAACCAAAAATATGATTTTTATGCTTTTAATTTTGTCCTCAATTTCAAAAGTTATTCAATAATATTCAAATCACAATAAATATTACAAACTTAGTGTTTTTTATTCCATAATAAACTAACAAAAGCAAAAGCATTAACCGAACTTGCCTAACAAGTTTTCTTATTGTTTTGAACTTTGAAGCTTGAAGAGCTTATCGTAACTATATAAGAAAGCAGCCCCCACATTAGTCCAATTCGCTTCCGAAACCTGAAGTGGTCACCAATCATTGGCCCACCGCAAAGACCCACTGAGCTGATCCAAGTCCAAAATTCACACACACACACACACACACACACACACACACACACACAAATTATGGTAGTAAAAAGGTAGACTTGGTTTCAGCGTCATTTCTAAGATTCTCTCTCATCTCTACCAAAACATATCTATCTGCTGGTCCATCTGCGTTCTGAAACCTATTGCTTCTCTGCGCCTTTTCATCAAACAGGTTCGCTTCAATCATCTCCTCTCTAATATATATATATATATATATATATGCGCACACACCTATAGTTGTATGTATTGCTATATGTATAATTTTTAGATAAACAGATGTACATATGTAGATTTATATGGATGTTGTTGATTCTTGATCAGATCGTGCAATTTAAAGCTTGTTTCTTGTATCTGTGCTTCGGAAACCTTCCTTTTTCGGTTTAAATACTTTGTTTACTCTTTGCAGTTCTTTATTTCTTCTTTGATGTTTCTAATCTTTAATTAAATGGGGTTTTCAATTAAATAGGATGTTCTACAACTAATCTGGTTTCTATGATTGTATCTATGTAATATTGTGATGGTATTTACTGAATTGCTTGTTGATATGTTGTTTTTGAAAGTAATAGCTTGGAATCTGGTTACTGAATTCAGAACCCTTGTTCATGACCTAGGCTATGCTTGTTATTTTGTGATTTTTGTTCTTTTTATCGGTTTCTCCTTTTATGCTGTTGAGGGTAGCTATTGTTTGTCTAATCAATAGAGCTAAAAGTGAGTTGAATCACTGAAATTGATATAACTAGTAGACTAAGGAACACAATCGAAGGATGTTGAAATATTTACGACATATACTAAACTGTCTCTAATTGTGAACTTGCTTCTTTGAAGCTGAAAGCAATCCTCTGATGAAAGAGAATTAATTGTTTCAAAGGAATGCTTGCAAATTTGTGTGTGTTCCTGTGATTAGATTTGAATATATTTTCTTCTTGCTTGGGTTGTGAATCTGAGGATAGTTAATGTTGGCAAAGGTCAGAACTTTTTACTGCAATTTCTCTAGGATCATTCTCAATTTGTCTTGGGGTGTTTTGCCTTGAATAAAGGATAAATTAATTTTTTTGAGCTTGAGATGAGTCAAACAGTTTATATAAAGCAATAGATTCTCTTAAACCTGTTAACGAAGCCTAGTGCTTGCTCAGAAGAGCTGCATGTACAGGTGAAGATAAAGTAGGATTGTTACATGGGTGTGTTGAATGTTCTCTAATACTTATAAAAATAAAAAAAAGTGAAAAATGAATGTTCTCTAATGATGCGATGGACCCAAGATTTTTCCTTGTGTTTGCTTTTTAAACAATTTATTTCACAAATACTTGGGAAAGAAGTTTATTGAATGCTGCTTGATTTGTTTATTTTTTATTTATTGTTCATTTTTGTTATAATTCTTGTAGGAGCAATGATCAAACTATTTAAAGTAAAGGAGAAGCAGAGAGAACTTGGTGAAAATGCAAATGGGAAGCCACCAGTCAAGAAGCAAAGTGCTGGGGAATTACGTCTCCACAAAGGTTCCTCTTATAAATAGTGATAATTTCTCATCAGTTATTTATTTATTGTTCTTGTAATAAACATGTGTTCTTTTATATAGATTTATTAATTCCAAGTTTTTTGAACATTTAGTAGCAGTTAATTTTGTATGGTATTTAAGCAGGTGTAGTGGAAGTGTTGTATTCGATGAGGAGTTCAATTTCTTGATTTGCATTACAATTTAGATAGCATTCAATTAATTTTAAAACTATACTAACCAAATAAGTTTTCTAGTCCATTTTTCAGTGATTCCATGTGAGGTGTCTTTTATCTGTTTAAACAAACGATATCTAAAGAAGTCATATTGCTATTTAAGATTGTGTTTTACTTAGAAAACAGGCAGTGGGAATTAGGCGAATGGATTTTCTTTCCCAAAGAGGAGGGATTGAACTTTGCAATTTTGTTGGATATTGTTGGGAATATTGTGTTTGTTACCTTTAAGATTGGGAATTGTCATTTTAAGTATAAGTGAGAGGTAGGATTAAAGGATTTGGAAATTGTAGATTACATGCTCTCAAAGGGGTCTTTCAAGGACATGTTGGAGCATTAATAAGGTTCACATGTACATGGAAGTGTATTGGGATGGTCTTACTGAACAAATCTTGAAATAACTGGAATATAATTCTATTACCATCTTATTTTCCACTGCATGGCCTGAATAAAACATAAACCTAATCAAAATTTCCTTTTGTTGTCTACTTATCAAAAAAAAAAAAAGTTCCTTTTGTTGTCTTTTGCTGGGAAATTTTCATTTGCTGTCATAATTCCTGGATGAGGATTCATCTTGCTTTCTCATTTTAAATGCTCATATTATCAGATGTAATTGTATTTTTTTTTGGAATTTTTTACCTTGTAGATATAAGTGAACTCAACCTACACAAAACATGTACCATATCATTCCCTAATGGGAAGGATGACTTGATGAACTTTGAGGTTACAATTCGTCCGGATGAAGGATATTATTTGTAAGTAATGCTTTCCAAGTATCTTTATAGTTTGTTATGAATTAGACAACTATGCACCACTGATATATATGTTTCTCTTCACTCTTCTAATAGTGGTTCATTGTGTCTTGTGCAGCAAGATATTAGTTTTGATACAATTTTTCTTTTTGTCTTTTTATTTTATACACACACACATGCACACACACATAAAATATTGTGGAATGCTCTATGGCCCATGGGTTTTCTAATTCATTTAACTGGACACTCATTCTCTAGAGGTGGCATATTTGTATTCTCATTCCAAGTTTCTCCTATCTATCCCCACGAGGCACCAAAAGTCAAGTGCAAGACAAAGGTTTGCAAAAACTTGTATTTCAATTTTTCTTTACTAATTTGTTGAGATTTCAGTAAATCAGTTTATATGGGTAGGCTATCACTAATTTAACATCATATTTACAGGTTTACCATCCTAATATCGATTTGGAAGGAAATGTATGTCTTAACATTCTTCGAGAAGACTGGAAACCTGTCCTAAATATAAATACCATTATTTATGGCCTGTATCATCTATTCACGGTATTTCTTCTTCTGGTGCAAAGCCATTGTAGATCAGTGGATTTATGATATTATCTAATTGTGGCTTTTTGTTTAGGAACCCAATCATGAGGATCCCCTCAATCCAGATGCAGCTGCGGTGTTGAGGGATAACCCCAAGATGTTTGAATCCAACGTGAGGAGAGCAATGGCTGGTGGGTATGTGGGACAGACTTTCTTCGCTCGATGCATATAGCATCTGAAGGCAGCATCAAGTGTTCACTTAGTTAAAACTGGTGATGCTTAAGGTCAGAGTTTGTACATTTGGATGCAAGATCATCTTGTCTATCTGCAGTACAGATGATTGGGTTACAAATATCTTTGAATTTATGTAACTGGCAAGTGCCTGAAAATGTTTGTATGCTGTTATAACCTTATGTTTGTTTGTTTTGATGAAATAATTATGTCAAACTGAATTTTAGGCATCTGCTTTGAGGAAGTCTATGATCTTTGCTGTTGATTCAAGTTGTGTAATTGCATTTGGTTCTTCTGAGTGATAGGTTTTTACTATTCAACAAACACTTCTATTATTTAGTCTAAATTGATTAGATGCCCACCTATGCTTACACTGTCCAGAGTTTGTGTAATTGCATTCAAGTTGTGTAATTGCATTTGGTTCTTCTGTACGGATGTTTTGTTCTTTTGGGACCATAACCTATTTTCATTTTGTGCCGGGGATGGTTATGGAATCCTATTCCTAAGATCAAAAGTCAACTCTAAGCTCTGTTAATGGATTGATTTCCTTGAAGTGCCAGAAAAGTACCTTGTTTGGCGTGGAGAAACACACTTTATGGGTTGGATCTTACCTTTGAAAGTTTCAGAAGCTGAGTGATAGGTAAATCACATTTGGTATACCTTCTCCTAAATTGCCATGGCCATGTGACTCTGTGTACTCACACTTGTACTGATAGAAAGATGTTGTAGGTGAAGGAAGTGCCGCATCAGGTTGTGCTACTGATTGTTCGAGGTTAATCTCCAACTGATTCAGCTGTCATGGTATTAAAGGGTCTTCTTAATGTTGCATATTTGAAGAGCTACATGTACAGGTCCACTTAAAGTATCCAAATCGCTCTCCCCTACCTCCCTTCTATGGTTCTACCCAAGTTTATGTTTGTTCTAATTATTCTGGAAAAAAGAAAAAAGAATTGGATGTTCTCGATAATGCCTTGTGAGCAAAATGACTTTTAGTTGTTTCTTAAGCTGATATTTTGTTTGGTTCCTAGTTTATTCTGCCTGGTGAACCTAGCATTTGCAGTTTCACGGAGATATCATCAACTCCTTTGGTTTCAAAGGTAAAGGAAAAAAATTGCACAAATGCAGGTATGCAATCAAATTTACTTCTTTGGATAGGATTGTATTCTCATGCTCTATTTGCTCTTAGTTTTCAGCATTCTTCATTTAGGTGATTACTACTGTACTTAAGTATAAATTGTTTAGGTGTTTTCACAAGTATTTGAAGGAGCTATATTGCAATAATGGACTCTATGGAATAGACTACATAAAGTCCTGACCTAATTCACAACATTATATCTAGTTATGGATGCATATTCTTCGTGTGACAACTCTTTTCTCTTTCTTTTCAACCGGTCCTTGTACTGAAATCTTCGTGCAACATTCTCTCTCCTATGATAGCCATTGTAGCTCCCAACCGAGCGATTACTGTATCATGTCATTGCTGGATATGTAGCTGATTTAGGCAGGCGAGCGCGAGCAATGCACTGAGTGCCGCTCTCCACAGCTCTGGTTGGTACCTGTCTCCCCCCTATACCGGCCTCCCTTTTGACATAACCATTGCATTCTTGGCATCTGAAGCATGTTACATGGTGCTTTTTAATAATCCTGTTCAATTGTATGAATGAATAAACAACAATGTGCCTTAGGCAGTGCAAGCCTCTCTGCATCAATGATTCAAAACTGATCCATTGCTGCAGCTAAGCAAAGGAGAAGACTTTTGCAAATTAAACGCCCAGCACAAACAAGCAGCTAGACTCGTGCATTCTTTGGGATCTTCTGACATTTCCCATTGCTTAAGTACTATGAAGCACCAACATTTCTACGAAGGAGCCGTACCCGTGTCGTGTCTATGTTGGATACCAACACACATCAAATACTCTTTGGATACGTGTCCGAAACTTCGTATACGTGGTTGTAAATAAAAATAAATTTTTATTTTTTATTTTTTTATTTTGGATAGTGTCCGCCAACATTTAGGCTGACGCTTTCAAATATTTCTAAAACAAGTCCATCTAGTAATCTTGAAAATAATATGAACATATTAAACTTTTTTCTTTAAGAAAAAATTTATATTATACACACATGATCACAAGCAAAACATTGAACGAGTGATATTTGTTCATTTAAAATAAATACACATTATGACAAAGTAGTGGAATAAATACTGTAGATATGATATAAAAATCATTACAACTCTCAGAATAAAATTAATAATGAATTAAAGTTTTATAATATTATTAATCAATATATATATATATATATATATATATATATATAAATATATAAATAAATATTTATATTTATAAATCATACACGTGGGCTTCGTCCTACTTTTTTAAAATTTAGCGTGCCAATGTATCCATACTCCTTAAGTAACATAAGCCATCTGCACTGCCAAGACGTTAGAATAATAGTCATGGACACCCCCTAGACATGAGTTCAATTCATGGTCATGTCCAAAATTTAAAAATAAGTTTTTTAATTTCAAATACTTGTCCCGGCGACCGAAGCCCCGGTGAACGGCGGCCGTAACTATAATGGTCCTAAGGTAGCGAAATTTCTTGTCGGGTAAGTTCCAACCCGCACAAAAGACGTATTTTGAACATTTGGTCAACACATTCAATTACATGGCAGCGTGGAGACTGAAGACAAACATATACCAAAGCGTTAAAACCTTTTTTTTAAAAAAAAAAAAAAAAAATACCCAAAAACAAAAGAGAATGACATTAAACCGATGTCACCTATATAATAAACTAAAGCATGACAACATAGGATGGTAATATGATATACAATATTTTTTATATTCAAATATCTCTATAATGACAACGTAGGAAAGTAATATGATATTTTATATTTTATATTTTTTTAATATTCGAATAGCTTCATCGGGTAGTACTTACATTGCTTACAATTTTTTAAATCACAAATAGTAATAAATGAATTGTGACACTGAAAGTTAACACATTCAGATTATATTTATATAAATAGAAATGACATGTCATCAATTATAATGATAACATTATTTTCCACTCTCATAAAAAAATTCTTTGTATTTGACTCTCAAATTATATATCCGCTCATTTTCCTAAATAAAGACTTCTTATTTGTCTTTTTAATTTTATTTTAGATCTCTCACTTTTGAGACAATTTCACATGGTACGGTCAACTTTTTTTTTTTTTTTTTTTGACTTGGGCCACTTCCATATGCTAGTCAAGTTATGTGATGTTCGTAGAATGGCCCGCCAAAAATGATGGTGTAATGGGCTTCGACTTTAGAAAAATTACAATGTTCATTACTAAGGGCCTGTTTGAGAGGTGTTCTATTGTGTTTTGTAATGTTCCAGATCCGCTACAGTAACTCACTTTGAGAACAAAATATATTTAGGCCGGCCTGTGTTGGTTTCAACAATGCTAGAACATTTTCTAAAAATGAGCCAAAAGTTGGAACATCAATTTGGTGTTCTGGATTGTTCCAAATATCTAGCCGGCCCAAAAATCACTGGGTGCAACAAATGCACCCACTATTTGAGAACATGTATAAAGAGAAATTGGGTACATGTTGCAGGGCTAGGGTTCTCGCGCAGTTGAGGCGATTAGGCGACTCCAGTACGGCTGATGTCTTCTACAAATCGACGACCCTATTTCATGGTGAGCTCATCTGGATCTTCGTATTTCATGTGTAACATACCTAATCCTTCTTCTCTCTCTAAAATTTCGACGGTGTGTGAAGATTGGGCTTGAAATCGACGACTGTGTCTGAAGATCTGAAGAGCTCTCCCTTCATCGCGTCTCTCTCTACTCTCGGATTATCTTCTCTCTTCTCCGGCTGATTTACCCCAACGAGAAACGCTTGCAGCCGTCTGCAACTTCCAGCTAGCTCCAGTCTTCTTCTTCGGCGATGGATTGACAAGAAAATTTCCAGAATCTCCCCAAGCTCTCTACCTCTATTTCCTCATCTCTCTCATCTCGGGTATGTTTTAGTTTTTCTAGGTTTGCTTTATGCTTTCAAATCATACTTAATAACAATAATGTTGAAGCATTTTATCAATCAACGAAGATGATTCCTCATCTTAACAAATAGGCATGAAAATGAGATTCACATTGAAGAAGGTAATAGATTTAGGAAATATAACAGAGAAACAAACTTCAGTTTTCTAAAATTTTTAAGAACTATTACAAATAATATATCTCTGACTGAATAGGATATCCGTAATTTGTTTGTACGCATTACCTTGATTGGCTCTTTGATTTCTATCTGTAGAATACTAGCCTACTCTCTGATCAACTAGAGTTATTTTATAATTTTGTTTTTAATTTTTTTGAGAGAATTTTTAATCAATATATGCATGTTTGAAATCGGTATTTGCAATCAATTCAATAAAAAGAGTTTTGCAAAAATCTGCGTATGTGAAGTTATAGGCTGTGGATATGAAGTTTTTTTTTAATGGACTGAGTAGAATATTGCTCTATTAGTTAATGTCTATGATTTTTTTTCTTTTTCCCTTCCTCCATACTTTACATATGTATGTTAATACTATATATATCATACACACAAATTCAAATTTTTTTTTTTTTTGTTTCTGTGTTTGTCTTCATTTAGTTGATAGAAACCAAGAAGGGATCTTTCCCATGTAGCTAAAATGAATACTTTCAAAGGAAAGGATTAAGGTTCAGTGGGAAGAATCCATATGTTGGTCAATTAGAATGTTATTTGAATTGGTTTCTTTTGATGAACTTACATAGTTACATGGTTATTAGTTGCTTAGAGTTATAATGAAATGATTGCTTTTTGAATCCTTAAAACTTTACCTCTGATTATTGTGAAAAGAAAAGCACCTTAATAAAATAGAATTTACCTTATTGTTTTAAAACATCTTACATAAATCATTGGCTTGCACTCTATTTTTAATGCATGAATTATTGAAACTACTGATCAGAAAATCTTACATATGAATTGGTAAAGTTGTGACTTCCAATAATTTTCTACATTTGTGCTTTTATGATATTATTCAATTCTGATTGAAAATAAGGTTTGGAGAGTATGTTTTAGTTAAGCTTTTGTTCTTATGCAAACAAGTAATTACAAACAAAAATTTAGTCATGGTATGTAGATTTATTAGAAAACTGGTTCAGCTGATGTGTAGTAATCTAGTAGATGGGATAAGTTCCTATTTTCCTTTCTATTTTGGGTCTGCAGTGTGGTTCTTGTGTGACCCTACTTGTTGCTATTAGTACTTGTTGCTCTTAGTATAAATTTTTTTTGTTTTATATCTTAGTTGCGGAATATATTCATGTTTAATTTGAATTAGAAAATGTGGAATCTGAAAAAATCTTTGTATTTTAGTGTTAACATAATGAAAAATATTGCCAGATCGATTAGTAACATAGGACAAAGACAAAATATTTTTATTTTACTTTGTTTTTTAGTGTTAACATAAGACCATGTTGCAATTACCACATATGATAGTTTAAAAAAGAAAGATAGAAGAATGTCACTGAACATGCATAATTTATGGGACAGCTGTTGTTAATGACCCTTTTAAAACTATGTAATTAGATGGATATGAATGGTGAGAATGTGGTTGGAGAAGAAATAGAGGACCTTACAGACAATACCGATGATGGAAAACTAGTATGGGATGATTCTCAGCTCGAAGCTTTCATCATCTGTATGGAGGAAGAAGTGAAAGTTGGTAATCAGAGTAGCGAAACTTTTTGCCCTGCTAGTTGGAAGAATATAGTAAAAGGCATAAGGGTCCGTACAGGGAAGAAGTATGAACTGAAACAACTTAGGAGCAAATTCAACCACGTGAGGGTATAGTACAAAGCCTTTGTGAGTTTGTTAACAGAAACAGGCGTATGATACAATGCTGAGACGAGCATAGTTATAGTTGAAATAGAAAGATGGCCTAGATTGATGAAGGTTAGTTATTCAAATAAATGTATATTTATTTGAGAAATGTATACTTAACCTAATATTAATAGTACTTTAATAATTTGTAGGTGAATGCCTATGATGGTAAGGTTCGAAAGAAGGGATGGAAGCATTTTGACAAGCTCACCACCATATTTGGAGGCACACACGCTTCAGGTGCACATGTCCATGCTTCGACTAATCCACCCATTATCAACTAAGCCCGCGCACACCATGCAGCCATACATAGCTCATTTGAAATTGATGATTTACCTCAGTTAGGAGGTCATGAGATCAGTCCCTCTCCTTAACCTCGTGGTAAGAAACCAAAGAAAGAGAGTTTTGCCTCCACAATGAGCGATGTCATGCGTGAAATGAAAGATATTGAACGAGAGAAATGTGATCGAATTGAAAGGGCCTAAAAGAAGCTTCATCATCTAATATGAAAATAGTCCATGAAGAATGTCAGGTTGAAGTAAATTATCCGGACAAGACAAAATGTGATTTTAAGTTATGTTGTAGTATTTTGAATAAGTTGGAGGGCGTTGATATGAAACAATATGCTAAGGTCACCCAGATGTTACGTAATGATGAAGTTTGGAGGAAGTTCTTTCTAAATGGCTTTCCTGATGATAAGAGGGTTGGTTGGATTATGAATCTTTGATTTGGTGTGTTGCTTTTATTATGACTTTGGATGATTGTACTATTAAGTATACTTTATTTGGTTTGTTACTTTTATTTCTTATTTGGTTTTGTTATGACTTTGGATGATTGTAATATTAAGTACACTAGTATTTATGTTATTGGGATGATTATAATGACAATATCAGTATTTGGCTTGAGATGATTTTATTTGCTATCTTGCTTTTATTTCTTATTTAGTATATGGCTTGGGATGATTGTAATTTATGTCGTTTATTACATTTTGTATTATACAGATGGATATTTGGACAATAATTAAGTTGTATGATGATGATAGCGACAATGAATGTGTCATCATAATGGCATGTATGCTGGATTATTATATGAAACATTATCATAAACAATCTTGTAGGGATTCACTTTTAATTGGGGAAACATATATAATGGAGATCTTGTATGGGCATGGAAGTAGATGTTTTGAAAACTTCAGGATGTCCACCCCTGTATTTTTTAAGTTGTGTGGGGAGCTTAGGGCTAGTTTGGTGTGGTGGAATGAAATACAAAGAAAATGGAATGGAATGGTTTTTATTCCATTATTGTGTTTGGTGCCTAATTTTAAATTTGGAATCGTCATTCTCCACCATTCTTGGAGAATGGTCATTTCATCAAAGTTATTCCACCTTCAAACAAAAGGAATGACCATTCCATTCCCTCTTTCAACTCTCTTTCTCTTTCTCCCAACATTTCTCTCTCTAGACTACCCCCATCAGAAACCATGGCGCCCAATCTAAAACCCCATCTAGGTCTCCTCCTATTCTTTCTCTACATCATCTCCATCCCCGCAATTTCCCCTTCCTCCGATCCCCCAACAGTCTACGAAATTCTCCCCCAATTTGGCCTCCCGAGCGGTCTTTTGTCAGACTCCATCAAATCGTACTCTCTTTCCGATGACGGAAGCTTCGTCGTCAAGCTCGGAAAGCTATGCTATATATAGTTCAAGTACTTGGTCTATTACGAGACGAAAATTACAGGGAAGCTCAAATATGGGTCAATCACGAATTTGGATGGCATTTAGGTCTAACGATTCTTTTTGTCCCCTCTGTCGGTGACGATCTAGCAGAACAAAAGCATGTTTTTTCTCTATTAGTCGATTCCTCTCTCACAGTTGTTTTTGGTATTTTTGGTGGATTTCATCTATTAGTCGATTCCTCTATTTTTGGTAGATTTCATCTGTTTTTTAGAGTTGTTTTTGGGATTTTTGGTGGATTTCAGAATTCATTTATCGAAATGAATAGTGGTGATGGTCGTGGTTATGGCAGTAGGAATATTGATAGCTATGGAGACTTTGCGTTTATCTCTCTATTTTCTCTCTATCATCTCTTCACCTTTTTGCTTTTGTTAATTTTTTTACAATAAAGGGTATTTAAAATAATATAAATCCATTTCATTCCAACTTTACACATTCCATGTTTGCAACCAAACGGTAGAATGTGAATCAACATTCCCATTCCATTCTCTTCTCATTCTATTCCCACCTCCATTCTCATTTCATTCCAATTCGTTCCTGCACACCAAACTAGCCCTTAGGTCATTAGGGTTGAAAGACTCTACATGTGTTAAGTATTTATGAACAAGTTGACATATTCTTGCTTACTTTAGCTCATAATGAAAGGAATCGTGTGGTAGTAGAAAGATTTCAACACTCTACTTATACAATTTCAAAACACTTCCATTCGGTTTTACAAAAAGTGTGTAATTTAGAGAAAAAAATTATTGTCCCACAGATTTAACCAAAGTTCCTAACCATATAAGGAAGTCAAAAAAGTACCATCCTTTTTTTAAGAATTGCATATGGGCAATTGATGAAACTCATATCCATGCGAACGTGCATGTGGACAGCAAATACCATTACGTGGTAGGAAGGGGGATACCACACAAAATGTAATGGTTGTTTGTGATTTTGATATGATGTTCACGTACGTTGTAGCGGGATGGGAGAGGTCTGCTAATTATTCTAAGATATTGAACGAGACCATTAATAATGAGGATATGCATTTCCTAAAGCATCCAGACGGTAAATGTCATACTTCCTACAATTTTGCAATAGTTATTTTAAATATCATGGTATAATTATTTATAGTTTGTAAAATGGAAGGAAAATATTATTTGGTGGACTCCGGGTATGCCAATCAACTGGGTTTCTTGGCTCCCTATAGGGGTTAACGGTACCACTTCCAAGAGTACCGTAAAGCTTCTCGGTAACCCCAAGGTAGAGAGGAAATATATAATCACAGGCACTCGTCTTTGCGAAATATCATTGAGAGCTGTTTTGAGATGTTTAAGATGAGATTCCCCATCTTGAAGCAAATGCCCCCGTAGAAGTTTGAAGCTCAGGTTGCTATTGTTCTAGCCAGCTGTACACTTCACAACTTTATAAGAAAGGAGGCGCATGTAGATACAATATTTGATGATGCAATTATGGAGGTGATGATAGATGAAATATTTGAAGATGATAATGATGATATTCAGGCTAATGTGTCACAATCTCGCTCGCGACCAATGAATATTTTACGTGATCATATTGCTAATAATATATGGAATGCAAATCAGCACCCTTGAAATTGTATTTAGATGTTTATCATGTTTGGATAACTATAATAACTACTTTATTATAATTATTTGTTAGTATTTTGTTAGACCAGGAGGGGGAGGGGGGGTGAATTAGTCAAAACCTTCTTTCAAAAGTAACTTAAAAACAGTCAAAACAGTAATCAATGAACATTGCAATAGAAATTACAAGGAAATCCTCTTAATCAAGGAAAACTTTAGTTCTTGGCCAATGCCAATTCAATCATCCACTAGCTGCAAGTAAGCTGTTACACACTCAGCTGTCTCACTCTCTGCACACACCCTTGTCACAGAAGTAGACACTAGTTTTCACACACTCTACTCACACACTAGCTTAACAAGTGTATACACACACTCCCCCTGTCCTAGGCAACCCTGCCAGGACCAAACAAGCTTTCTAAGCTCACCAAATACATTATAGCAAATGTAAAACAACAAACACAAATTCTTTCTTCAATTGAAATAAGGTTGACAACTCAGAATGCCAAATTACCACTTCATAACATCAGTTTTTAGCATTTAGATCTTGAGGGGTAAAATGAGAATTTCTTCTCGAGATTCATTCAATAGTATCATACTCAGTCTTCATTCACTGTGGTACTCATGTTAATGACTTTTGGTCACTGAAGTGTAGCATGAGTTAAGCATATAGAACCAAGATAACCCTTGTTTCAGCAAAAACACAGTCTATGACTAAGGGTTGAAAACTGAAAATTGCAGCAGACCAATTTTCTATCACAAAACCAACTTCAAAATACAAGATTCATTAAAATACACTTGCTAGAGGATTAAAATCTTATAATATAGCAAGGCACAACCAATCAGTGCTTGAGTCCAAGAATATCTCAGAAAATTAAGTAAAACAAATGAGCTCACTGTCCATTTTTTATTTCAGCATGATTTCAACAATAATTCAGTACTTAGCAAGTGTATAAAGGTGATTAATACTTGTGTCAACTCTCTGAAAAGACCTCAGCACCTTGGAACTAAAATCCAATACTCAGTTTAGCCTTTGCAGCAGTGAAAAACAACAGCAAGAACATCTTCTCTGTTATAACAATCACATAGCTCGAATCAGTGAGTTTTTCTGGCTTGAATCATCACCAAAAACTTCAGAAAAACTAGTTCAATCAAGGCTCTCGAGATAATTCAGGCTGCAGCTCAATGTCACTTCTCACAGACAAGGCTTGAACCCTAAAAATGACTATAACAACATATATATATGAAATCACAAAGTGCACAGAACTTCATACATTCACAGAATACACCTGTCACCTCAAGCCAATCATTGGTAAGGTATAATGCAGATATTTTCAAAAGCAAGAACCAATAACAGAAGGCCACCTCAGCAATTTTGTTTCTATGCACACTGAAATACACACAACACTGCAAAATACCATTCAGCTCCAGACTTGACCTCCAAGAAAAGCAATATTCTTACATATTCATTTACTTTAGGACCATTGAAACGTGTCACACTAATGAGCATAGTAAGAAATGACTAGAATATCCTTGCAACAGATTTTTAGCTTCTTAGCTAAGAAAAATCTTGAAACTATATCAATGACAATGCTGATTCACTCAGGTCAATCCAGTTCAATGCAGCATCCAAAACATACGTGTATATGTTGAATACAACTAAGAAATGACAATGTTACCCCTGGAACCCTTTGTGACAATTTACATGAACTGAATCCACACAATACTTAGCAAATTAAGTAGGAACAGATAGATATACTGTGATAAATACATTAAGACAGTTATGAAGTATAAGTTACTGATTAGAAAATGACCACACTATCCTTGAGACTTATTTCAAGCAACTTTGATAATGAAGAAGCCCTTTGAAGCCACTGCCACACAGATTTTTCACATTAAAGAGGCAAACAATGCTTGAGGGACTTCAGGACCAACACTCTCCCCCTTTTGCCTTTAATGACAAAAACTTCAATCATGAAATAAAACCTTAATAAAGTAGACTCAACCAAAGTAATACGAAGCATAGTAACAATAGCAGCAAGTAAGAGAAGGGATAGCTGAAAAACTACCCTTATTTCAGTCCATTCTTCCCTTTTTTGACATTGAAGGACAAAAGGTGAGAAGGACCAACAATGAGATGCTTAGAAAAGGGGTGGAACAACCCTGAGAAGAGCTCTAAGGGTTGAAAATCAGTGAGGGAGAAGAGGTTTGGTCATGATATCTGCCAGTTGATTTTCAGTTGGTAAATAAGTGATGTCAATGAGGCTTTTCTGGACTTTATCTCTAAGAAAGTGATACTTGATGTCAATATGTTTGCTTTTCCAGTGAAGTATGGGATTCTTGCTTATTGCAATGGCACTTTGATTATCACAGTAGAGTTTAGGAGGACTTGAGAATTGAAGACCAAGATCAGCAAAAGCAGTGTGCATCCAGAGAAGTTGGGAACCAGCCTGAGAAACAGCTATGTATTTAGCTTCTGAAGTGGACAGAGAGACAGTATCCTACTTCTTACTTAACCAAGAAACTAAGTTGGAACCAAGAAGATAGGAACAACCTAATGTACTTTTTCTGTCAGGTAATGATCCACCCCAATCAGCATCTGAAAAGGCT